AAAACGGCACTTTTTACTACGGTAAGGTAAATTTAAAACTATTTCAATTTAAACGGAATGTTACGTTTTTTGTAGTTGTGTGTGCTGTAAATACTAATCGTCTAAAAGTACAAAAATAAAAATTTTTAAATAAATTATTTTATTCTAGAAAACTTTACACTTGTGACATTTAATTCACAAAATAAAACATTTCTTCGATCATGTTGACGTCTAATTGTTGCTCTGATGAAATTATCTAGAGACTTGAAATTTCAAGTGAAGACAAATAAATATATTGAGTAGCGTGAAATCAGCTAAGAATTTCGGCAAATCTCCACTAGAGTAAAACTTAGACAAACAATACAAAGCATAACAATATAATAGCTGAATATTTGTATCATAGTAATGGAAAGGTGAAAATGTTATATTTTAGAATTAGTTTTTTATTATACTTAACAATATCTCATTCAGTAAATATATGGTCGAATTAAGATGTATTTTCTTCAAACATAGCTGTAAGAATCTAACTGAGGAATAATTCAGTTACCTTAAGGTTAATGATTTTATCTACTATCAAGAAAACCATGAGAAATCTATTCCTAGTCTCATGCATAGGGAGGAAATAAATCTGGTCTAAAAGCGGACTTGGCGAAGTAAGAATCGTATACGTCGTCAATCTTATGTGAGATACAAGCGACAAATTTCACAGCTGGTTTAAACGTAAAGAGTAGGGATGGGGAGAATTTACCGTAGAAAAAAAACAAGTGTCTTTTTCTTAAATACGTTGTTGAATTTAAAACTCCCAGACCGTCAGTTTGGTAGATGGTAGACGTGTGTTATGTGACTTCCCTCGCCTAACCCCTGGTTCTGTACTCTGATTTCTTTCATCGATATGTGCTATTCAGAGTTGCAATCAGGCATCTATTCGGACATCTACACTAAGCAAGTCTATCAATCAAGCATCTATTCGGACATCTACACTAAGCAAGCCTATCAATCAGACATCTATTCGGACATCTACACTAAGCAAGTCTATCAATCAGGCATCTATTCGGACAAGTCTATCAATCAGGCATCTATTCGGACATCTACACTAAGCAAGTCTATCAATCAGGCATCTATTCGGACATCTACACTAAGCAAGTCTATCAATCAGGCATCTATTCGGACATCTACACTAAGCAAGTCTATCAATCAGGCATCTATTCGAACATCTACACTAAGCAAGTCTATCAATCAGGCATCTATTCGGACATCTACACTAAGCAAGTCTATCAATCAGACGTCTATTCGGACATCTACACTAAGCACGTCTATCAATCAGGCATCTATTCGGACATCTACACTAGACAAGTCTATCAATCAGGCATCTATTCTGACATCTACACTAAACAAGTCTATCAATCAGGCATCTATTCGGACATCTACACTAAGCAAGTCTATCAATCCGGCATCTATTCGGACATCTACACTAAGCAAGTCTATCAATCAGACATCTATTCGGACATCTACACTAAGCAAGTCTATCAATCAAGGTTCTATTCGGACATCTACACTAAGCAAGTCTATCAATCAGGCATCTATTCGCACATCTACACTAAGCAAGTCTATAAATCAGGCATCTATTCGGACATCTACACTAAGCAAGTCTATCAATCAGGCATCTATTCGGACATCTACACTAAGCAAGTCTATCAATCAGACATCAATTCGGACATCTACTCTAAGCAAGTCTATCAATCAGGCATCTATTCGGACATCTACACTAAGCAAGTCTATTAATCAGGCATCTATTCGGACGTCTACACTAAGCACGTCTATCAATAAGGCATCTATTCGGACATCTACACTAAGCTAGTCTATCAATCAGGCATCTATTCGGACATCTACACTAAGCAAGTCTACCATCCTCTCCTCTCATAAAGTATGAAAATGTATAATAAATAAATTCTCCGCCTTTATCCCCTTTTCTTAAACTAAAGCCCCCCCCCCCCCCCCAACCCACGAATCTCCCGCTCTCACAGCAACAAGTCTCAGCGAAGCATTGTTATTATTGAAGTTTATAGATTAATAGATTTTATGAATTGGAATATCCCTCAATTTAATATGGCTCTCAGAGAGTCAATCTCAGTATTTAACCTCATTCAGCAACCCCCATTATAAATACACCCGCTCCCGCAATAAACTAAGTAATGCATATAATACACACAAATAAACACACCGACAAACACTTTAAGAGAGAGAGAGAGTGAGAGAGATGTATAGGTGGATATAAAATAACAATATAATGTCATTATTAATTGAAGTAAAAACTAATTTAACAAGTTGTGATGGGGAGTTTATTGACAATACATCATGTAAAAGAGTTGGGTTATAAAGAAAATTCAATATTGTTTTGAAAATATTTATTGTTATATTTTTTATTAAAAAATAAGAATTGTGCTATAAACTAAAACATAAATATTAAATTTTTAAAATTATTTAAAAAAAACGGTTTATTTATTTTAATAACTTATTTTAGTAATAGTGTTTATTGTTTTGCATTTTGTGTTTATAACTACTAGTTAAACGGCAATGTTCAAGAGATATTAAATAAGATCGGGAAAACCTCAAATTACCGGACTTTCCGTGGCACTAAAAATAACATCATGAGGAATCGCCGTTTATTCCAATTGAACATACTACATAGCCCTATAGTGCCCTATACCAACTGTTGCTGAAGGTATGTACTTATTATTTTTCTAACTTGTTTTATTAATGTAATGGATTTGATTATAAATTATTTCTGACTTTAAAAACAAATGGGGCCTATTCAATTAAATAAGCTGAAGTTTAAACTCTTTTTAATGATTTAAATCATACATAACTTGTCCATCACTAAATATATCGTTTAAAGTAGATTTTGGATTTATTAGCTAAGCCGTTGCCCATAGTAAACTCACAAAGCTGTGTTATAGAGGTGGATGGGGAGCGGGGAGTTATTTTTACTGATTTCTGCGACGCTAGAAAAATGTAATCCTCTTGTGATTTTTTTTTAGGAAATAAAAATATATTTCATATGGGGGTGGAGGTTTGTATAGTTATTAAAGGGAAGAACGAAGTTGTAACTCAATTTTTTATAACGGTTTTTTAACTACTAGAAACAATAACATCAAGATATATTATATCATAGTATGAATTCACGTGTTATAAGCATTCAAAATATTAAAATAATTTAACAGATATAAAAATAAATGTGTGTATAATTTATTCGATTGAAATAATGAGTAAAACTTATACATTTCATATTGACAAAGAAAAAGAAAATTATACTCATATCCGTATCATTAAGCTTCGACCTATCTAAAAACACGGAATTAAATATTGATAATTTTATTTTGTAAAAGTTTGTTTTTTTTTGTGTAGAAAATTTTTTTTTAGCGCAATTTCCATTCTGGAGAATTGCGTTTATTAACTCGTCATTTCTGGGAATGGATGGATGAATGAATGAATGTATGGATGAATGTGTGTCCGGGCTTTAAGTCGTATCTCCTCCTCAACGAAGCAATATCGATGACTAGTTCCAAAAGCAATTATGTTAAGCAATTTACGAGAATGAGCATAGGCCATAAAAATTCCGGGTTTCTTTCATGTATTTCCCGGAAAAGCCAAAAAACCTCGAAAAAATGCAGTTTTTGGCCCATATCTCGGCAACCAGACTACTTAGCGACTTGAAACATGTACCAATCGATTCCTGCCATAATTTAGAACAATATTGCCGAAGAAAGTTTTCAAAAATATCCTCTTGTTCGGTCACAAATTTTAAAATTACATAAACACCTACAAACCGATCGTTCTTCTAGCTTGAACGCATCCCAGCATTATACGTCAGAGCTATTTTTAGATAACATAAGGAAATTGCGCATAAATGTCACTAGACTTTTTTAATTAACTTGTTTATATTTCGCTTCATACAAAAGGGTAAAAATACGTGACCAAAAATGTTTTTGAAAATAAATCTATATCAAAATTAAGTTTACATTCAGCACTTCCCCCCCCCCCTCACGCACGACACACAGTAAACTATTTCTTCATGTGTCTTTCCCTCCCCTCTCTCAACCAACCCTTATCCCCATGCTAAATCGGTAGGTCGCGAAAACGCGACTGTCGGCGTTAAGAGGTTAAAAGGGAACAGTGTAGGCTGGTAAATCGGGAAAATGTCATGTCACGGGATTATTCATATTCTAAAAATACCACTTGTTTGAGTTCCTTCCAAGACGCATAGATTTTTACATTTACGAAAATAAAATAAAATTTTGAATACGTAAAAAACAAGTTAATTAAAAAGTCTAGTGACATTTAAGCGCAATTTCCTTATGTTTTATTTACAATAGAGTTACATTACTAAAAACCATTGCGCGCCTAGCTACTGAACGTGATGGCGCAGCTATTGAACGTGATGACGCGTGTGGTGTGGTTGGATAAACATGCCTACTAATTCGGTCCAAATTTTAATTAATTCAAAACATTTTTTTGTAACCGAACGAAAGGATATTTTTGAAAACTTTCTTCGGCAATATTGTTCTAAATTATGGCAGGAATCGATTGGTAACTGTTTCAAGTCGCTAAAATGTCTGGTTGCCGAGATATGGGCCAAAAACTGCATTTTTTTCGAGGTTTTTTGGCTTTTCCGGGAAATCCATGTAAGAAACCCGGAATTTTTATGGCCTATGTTCATCCTCGTAACTTGCTTAACATAATTGCTTTGGAACTAGTCCTCGATATTGCTTCGTTGAGGAGGAGATACGACTTAAAGCTGCGGACACACATCCATTCATTCATACATTCATACATTCATACATCCAGAAATGACGGGTTAATAAACGCGATTCTCCAGAATGGAAATTGCGCTAAAAAATACATATGGGATGTTTCAGACACAATCAATATAAGAAGTTTTTAGTCATACGATTTAGACAAAATAGATAATTTCGGGAAAACCCGAGACTACCGAACTTACGTGGTACTAATAATAGCCCTTCGCGCCGGATCGCCATTTTATATCAACATAGACCCACAGGAAATGTTGCTTAATGTATGTAATTTTTATATCTCTATCTAGTTCTATTGATTTAATTTGATTCGATTAAAAAATTACCTCTTAACTTTAAATTAAGTATGTCATATTTAATTTGATAAATTGAAATATTATTCTTTGATTCATTCTTAATAAATTAAATCAAACAAAATTTATCCTTCACTAAAAAAAAAAATAAAGTACGTAGTTAAAGGTTAATACTTTAACGTTGCCTTTATATTTAGCTAGCAGTTGCCTGTAGTCATCTAAACGGCTGTTTGAAGTGACTAGGTGTCGGGTGAGTGGCTAATGATTTTTGAGACACTGAACAATGTAATTCGTCCATGATGAATCTTTTTTCGCAAAAGGAAATGTAGTTTCTATGGGGGGGGGGGGGGGGGAAATTAAGAGTGCGTATTTAATAAGGGAGATAAGAACATTCTGACTCCATATAATAAATGACAGCTTTTTAATCACCAGAAACAATAACATCAGTAAATACATTATATATATTTATATAGTGTCGGGAGGATTGTATGCGTTATATATAATGACTACTTCTATTTCTAACACTCCAACTATAAACATGTGATAAGAACGGGAACACGCTTACTTCCGACCACACTAATAATATCAACATGTTTGTGTTGATCATCTACTCTTTTATAGTGTATGGATTTTCACGATTTTCTACAGGAACATACAACAAATTATTGCTTCAGCAAATTATTATATATATAATTAACTTTCTTAACAACTACTACCACTAAACACACTAAAAATACACTAAAAATATACAACACACCTTATCTCTACAATAGCTAAAACCCCCAACTGTCTTCACTCCTTCGTCCTATGTCATCGGTAACATTGACGCGTCACACTCACGCTACAAATATTTTAACACGCGCACATACTCTCGAACTAAATCGTCTACTGTCAAAAAGGACTCAAATTTACACCGTCCTAATTGATTTCTACTAGTCAGTAGCGTAGCGAGGGGGGGGGGGGGGGGGCGGGGGGCGGGGGCCGGGGGGGACATATGTCCCCGGGCGCCGACCTTATGGGGGTGCCAAATTGAAAGTTTGAGGGGGGGGGGGGGTGCAAATGAAAAGTTCGAGGGGGGGGGGGTGCAAATCGAAAGTTTGAGGGGGGGGGGGGGTGCAAATGAAAAGTTCGAGGGGGGGAGGGTGCAAATCGAAAATTTGCTCCCAAGGGGGTGCCAAATTGAAAGTATGTCCCCGGGCGCCGGGAAGGGTCGCTACGCCTCTGCTACTAGTCAAGTCTTATTTCTATCTGTCTACGCTATGACGTACAAGTATTAAATCATAGTAAAGTCGATCTGAAGTAAGTTATTGTTAAATAATTCTAACATTGGTTCAAATACACACTTTGGTTTTTGTTTCTCCTTAGACATAGATCTAATATTTTTGAAACTAACGGAAATAATCAAATTGAATTTACCAAGAAAAAATGAAACATGTCTAGATCTACATATGAAACCTTTTCGAACACATAAAATACAATTACTTATTAATTATGTCGTAATGTTGCCAACTGATCAACAACGAGTGACCCCTACATAAACTCATTGATTCTATTGATCAGTTTTTCTGCAGTATGTAAAATATAATAAGATCTCTAGGTAGAAAGTCGCAGAAAATGGGACTATATAGATCTAGTATTTATGTATGTCAATGTGAACTATAGGGCCTATCCATATTTAAATAATATTTAAACTTTCTACTAATATTGAGATACACAGTATAGCTGAAATGTTGAAATTTAAACGAAATGTGATGTTTTTAAAATATGGCAATATGCAGATATTTAAGCTATTTAAAAAAAAATAAACACCGTAAAATAGCATAATTTCTCAAACTTAAGGCCTAAATGGCAAGTTAACAGCTAAATTATGATATCGATACTTCAAAAAGCATTTTTACAGCAGACGATAATTTGGCGTCATTTCATTAGCAAACTGTTAAGGTTAGCCTACACTAATGGACACGAGCGAGAAAACTCTCAAAGGTATTTGAGAGGTGTATAAATTAGTTTAAAAATCAGGCACGGCGTAGTTACAATTAATATGGTTATAAAATCCTGTCTGTCTGGTTTATTTCGGACTTTACTAAAGATTGGGTCTATTTGATGTTTTAAAAATTTTCGGTAACTAATTGAAAATTAAAAAACAAGCCAAAACAATTTGGTTTTCACGTGTAATGGAGACATAAACAAAGCCATCTTGCTCTCCAATAGGCTAGCATAAATTATAAGCAAAATACCGCACATGCGCCGTGCAGGTAAGTACTATTTTTAGTTACGTAGCTTAGCAGTAGCAGACGCGATAAACAATGATGGCGGCGAATGATGGTCTTGTTGTTGGTAAAAAAATTAGCCCTATTGAAGAACAGCCTTTATTGTTACTTGATTTTACTTATGTAAACATTATCCACTATTGTGATTTTTTAAACGATGTCCACTTCTGTAATAATAATTACAGAAAAGCCTTATGCAAAGGCCAAGAATTGTTTAAAGATAAATTTGTGTCTGGTTTGAAATTTAAAGAGAATGATGACTGCTTTGATATATTTTGTACGGTGAAAGCCGAGATGGCAAAGAAAAAATTCTATGAAGTTTCAACAGTGATTGAAAAGAATGGAAAAGTAAGTGGATTTATTTATTTTTTAATTGTATAGTTTATATTTAGATCTAGAAGAGGCGAACCTCAAAACTAGATCTAGAGCTAGAGTCTAGTTACTAGTAACTAGTTAGGCTTCTAGATCTACATCTAGAATTTACTAGAAATACTAGATTCTACTAATAAAATATAATAATGCCTTCAAATTATGCCTAAGAAGTGAGCATATTTATATTCATTGCATAGGCACTGATCAATAATTTTATATAAACTGATAATATATTTTACATAAACATTATCTAGATCTAGATCTATATTTATTCTATATGCCTATTACAACATTATTTAAGTTAGTAGATCTAAATTAGTAGTAGTTTAGTTGCAGACAAAGTGATTTTATAACATAAATTTAAATAGGCAAATATGTTGCAAGTGTTTGGACTAAACCAAAAACTTATGAATTCTCTACGTCTTAGCAAAATTGATTTTGATGCCTGATAATTAACAAGTTTACAATGCTCCAAATAATCCTCTTGCAGGTTCAGGCAAAATACACTAAGGTCACTAAGAGTACTTACTCATGAAAGTTAACAATGATTATTAATAACTTGTCATCTAAATATATAAATCAATTAAATTATTATTAAAAAATTGCATTTGATACAGTTGGTGAAAATATTTTATTTTTTTGGGAAATATTTTTAATTAATAAGATTTATTCTTTTTAAAACTTTGAAATTGCTTTTTGTGAGAAAACTTGAAGGCTATTGGGTTAAGAGTACAATATACAGAATCCTATCACATTTTTTGTCTATACTTACAACCATTCTTTAGATATAAACACACATGAGATTGAAGTGTCTTTAGTATATTATGTGTAGTTTGTAACTAGAAATATATGTTGAATGATTAATGTATACGCACTGTAAATAATTTTTATTTAATTGGTAAATATTTGACTGTATTTTTTGTTGAATTTTGTATTATAGTGAATAACATTTTATTATATCTTTATTATCAGATCAGTGACGGTGAATGTGAATGCCCAGGAGGTAAAAAGCCAGCATGCTGTAAACATCTTTTTGCTTTATTGGCTGCTGTTGAAGACTACTGTCGGAAAGAACTTTTTTCAGCGCCGACAGAAAAGCTACAAGTTTGGCATCAGCCAAAACCAGTACAAGTGTCTCCCCAGTTAACTGTCAGTTCTTTTACAACTGGGACTAAACAAAAATCGCATTTTGAACCAGCAAATCTAAATATTAATTTTAAGGCTTGTGATTTATTGCCACCAAATTTAGGAATTTTTCAAGCCCTGAATTTACATGAAAATATTGACTTTCTTGATAAATTTATGTATCCTAAAACTATACAACTGCCTTATGTTGAAAATGATGTATGTAGTAACAATGATTTTTCTAATGTTTCTTTGACACTTAGTCAAATATTATTCTATCATATGCATGTGCATCAAAATTTAAATTCTATACACAAACTAGAGTATAACACTATGTCACAAAATTGTGATTTATGGCATAGTGCCAGAAAAATAAGGATAACAGCTTTAAAAGCACACAACATTATACACAGACAAAACAATTTTAAAGATTTGGCTGTGAAATTTATTACAGATTCAAAAGTTAATTTAGATCATGTCTTGCCAATACGTTTAGGGAAGCAACGTGAACCAATGGTAAAAAATTTGATTAAAAATACTTTCAAACAATATTATTTTAGAAATACAGGCTTCATTATTCACCCAGTACACAATTTTATAGGAGCTTCACCAGATGGACTACTATATCATACAACAGAAATAATGTTAGTGGAGATAAAATGTATTTTCAACCCACAGAGATACTCTTTAGAAGAACTTTGCAGTAAAAGAAAACATTTTTTTTTAACTAATGACAGTGGCAACATACACTTAAATAAAACACATTCTTATTACACACAAATACAATTTCAAATGTTCTGTGCTAACATTCATTCATGTCAGTTTGTTGTATTTTATGATTTTAAAAAGTCTTTATTTTTTGAAAAAATTGAATATGATAAAGAATTTTGTGAATCAAATTTAAAATTACTGTCACATTTTTATTTTAATTTCTATTTGCCAGAATTAGATAATATTGAAAACTTGGCATAGATTACCACTGAATGTTTCATATTATGTTATGCATTTGAAACAAAATAAACTATTATGTTTTTCTATTTCTATCAATATTATATTATGATTCATTTAATTTAATAAATTTAACTTAAGAATAAAGTATTAAAATTAATCACTTTCAAAATGTTGGAGGAGAGAGGTGATAAAAGAAATATAATTAAAATGACTTCCAAGTTTCCACTAGACGAGGGAACAAAAGAAAGGAAGATTTTATAATTTACATTAAAAAAAAACAGTGTTGAATACAAATTAGTAAAATATAAATGAAAGAATCATAACAATTTTATACTAATTGACAAAATATGGGTTCAGTTTACAAATAAAACTGATATCTTTTCACTTTAATTCTACCTTAATTAAAGGATCTTGAAAATTTATTAAAAAACATACAACATAGTAAATATCATCTAACATTGGTAAATGAACATTTGAAATTTCTGATTTTAAAAACTTGAAATGTTTTATTCTACCTATGGCCCTTTCCACATGACATCTATTTTGTGAAATTTTTTTATTCTCACTTCTTTCAAAAATTTCAAAACGTTGTTTGTTTTTTAAAAAATAGGGGGTAAGAAGGGATACATTTTTTGAATCAAACAAATCTTTTAAAACAGTAAATCCTCTGTCAGCTAATACACAGTCTCCATCTTCTAAACCATTCAATAAACCTGATCTTGTGGTTATTTCCTTATCACTAATAGAACCATTAAATAGTTTTGAAATGAATGTGATTGCCCCACCCGGTGATATCCCAATGAGTGCCTTAACTGTATTATGGTTTTTATAAAAGCTAAAACTACTTTGTTGCTGTTTTGGATTTTTGGGTTGGTTAATTAAAAAATGACATGTATCAATAATGACTCTGCAGGCTGGAAAATATTCTACAAATGATGGGGGCATAAATGCATTTACTTGTTGTCGAGAGGGCCAGATATCTAAAGTTCTACATTTTGCACTAAGTGTTAATATAGTATGTCTAAATATAGAAGTAACAGAAGATGGGCTGATTTTGAATAATAACGCTATTAAATTATTAGAAATACCCTGTCTAAGTTTTATTAATGTAAGCAAAAACTGACTAGGGGCATTTAGTTTTGATTTTTTGAACAGTGAAATATCTAAACAAAAAAAATCAAATATTGCAGAAAACTGTAAACTATTAAAACCTGTCAAATTTTTGAAATATTTGTCACCTTTTTCCTTCAGGTATTCAACAGTTATTTGTGACGTTTTTAATCTATTATTTAAATTTTTATTTTTTATTTTACATTTATTTAATTCTTTTAAAACTTTTGATAAATATCTTCCAGTAGTTTCAGTTTGGGTTGCTTTGCTCCTGTCTGTTCCTACAACATCTGCATTGCATTCTGTTCCTATAATGTTTGTATTTGTATTAGCCAAGATGGATGAATTACTCTCATCATAACTGAAATATAATAAGTGAAAATGAAAAATGATTATTATTAAATTTTAATTATACATGAACACATGAATTTTAATATAAATTGTAACGAATTATCTACACATCAGATATAAATATTTGATGTCATATTGACTAACAGTAACTGGTTCAAAACGATATATTTATGATACATGCATTACTACACTTGTGTGCAGGTGCTTTTCTTAAAACCAAAATTATCAGAGTGTAGGCTAATACATAAAACATTAACTTACATACATTTATTCCTGCTGTTTATTCCTAGTGTGTTCACATTTGAACGAACAGTTGGTATGGCATCTTTTCTCAAAGTTCTTCTACCTACAAAATAAAAAAAAAAAACTATGTAGTTTAATATGATACAATGATAGATAACATTATTGTTAACCATATCTCTAAATGATTTTTAGACATCTACAAGTGTAATATGATTATTTAGACAATGGAATATACAATTATAGTTATACATCTTATTATTTTGATACTATCATCTTTAAATTACAGATTTTAAAAAGTTATTCATGTTAAATAAGTCCGATAATACATATTTTTTCACTTTTATTATTTATTGGCATATAAATGTTTGCTATTGCTGACAGTACCAAACATTAGGCCCCTTCTACTATACACTACAGCATTTGGCTGCTAGCCCATAGGTCTCGAGTTTGTGATCTCGGTTCAGGGTAGTGACTGAAGGACATCTCTGGGATTGGGTCCACCTAGCTGTGACGGTTACCTGACTTACGCTGGCGAAAGTAAAGGGGACTGGGCATAGTGCTGATTAACTGATTACATTATCTCTTCATATGCCGAGGTCAAGAAATATAGATCTACTAAGTGCTTTACTTTATCTGCCCAATGGATTGCTAGATCTAAATGGGAATATTTACTTTTTTTCATATGCATGTATGATGTACAGGGAGTTCCACATAGTCATGTTATGTAGATGGACTAAATAACTCACCCTTACATTTAACTCTACAGTGTGCAATGTACACTGTACATTCAAAACAGATGCAATATCACAGTATAGTAGTATAGACTAGTATAGAGTCTAGGTATTATTTGTTTAGTACGCCCTATACTATAGGTCACTGTGTATGGATAGGATCTAGATCAAGAATCTAGATCTGTATATTTAATTTTAATATAGACTCTATGTTACTTTTTTGTATTATAGGCATAGATCTAGCTATAAACACGAATAACTAAATATAAGTAAATAATTAATTAGTAGTCTAGTAGTGTAGTAGATCTAGATCTATATTTATATAGATCTAGTAAGTTATAGTGAATACTAAATATAATATAGTTATATGAGTAGATCTAGATCTATATGAATGACATTGTATCTGATTATTCTATCTAAATCTACTTCTAGTTAATTCTAGTATCTACTCTACTCTACAAGCTAGACACTAGATTCTAACTAGTTTTTAAATCTAGAGAGATCTAGATTCTAAATTAAATAATGCCATACCCGTTTTTGAAGTAAAACAGTTCTCCAAGAAATGTGCTGAGCACAAAAATGAGTTTTTTTTTGGTAAATATGAATTTCTTCTTATAAACTTTAGCCATAATTTTAATCTAGTCTAGTTGAATCTGTTGGCAAACGATGAAATGAAATGATATTTTCTTTACTTTCTAGATCTATGCTTTTTTTAGAGTTATTGTGACAGCCAGTTGCACAACAAAACTTTACCATTATTTAATTTTTTTTATTAGCTTATACTAATATTTGTAGAATAGATCTAGATTTCTAGATCTAGATCTAAATCTAGATCTAGACTTTAATATGGCTAAACCTAGTCGTTTCATAAATTTAGCAGACGAATATTTGACCCGGAAGTTTACATATTTTTAATTAAAAAAATGGCCAAGTTTGCCATGGGAATTATTTGTTTACTGAAACATATTCTCAAAGTAAACATTTTTTTTTCACGTTCTCTGAATTTGAAGATTTGATTTCATTAATTATTTTAAAATTAAATTTCCGATATTTTTTAAGGCTTAAGTTTAAATTTTTGTTCTTTTTTAAGGCCGCTATGAAGATTAAAAAAAATAAAAAAGTAATTTTTTTTTTTTCCCATGTCAACAACATTACGGAAGGAATCTCGTCAACTCGCTCGCCTCCATTACTAATTAGTAATTAGATATAGCAATAACATCTTAATTAATTAGATAATTAGATCTAGATCTAGATGTAAACTGTCAAACGATTAACAATCTACACTTTAATCTACATTTAAAGATTATAGTTAGGCCTATAGAGATTCAGATTCTAGACCTCTATGCCTCTAAGTAGGTACTAGGATTGGCCTCCCGATTCTCGCTGAGCGGCGTATTTTTTCTCCCGTTACCGAGCTGTTTGCGTGTTCGGCTACGCGAATTCGACGGTTTAGTAAATTTTTTTCCTCTCCGTTATTGAACGGTCAAATTTAATGTGGAAATTGTTTTTCTACTTAAAAATGGACTTTGCCTACCTTTTTGTCTTTTGTTTTTATTTTCATGGATTATTCAAAATGGAGTTTTTCATTGAAAATAAGGTAAGTTTGATTTATTTTTTAAAATTAACTACTGGACGCATGTCTTTTTTTATTGATTGCTAGAGTCCCTACACCATTTTCCTCTATCATACTGAAATTTGAAAGTGTTTGGATGCAGCTCATAGAAGTTATATGCTGCCCCGTTGGGTGTATGGTTTAGCGCTGTCTTGTGCTTACTTAGAAAGCGAAAGTAAAAAACCGGAAGGAGTCGGGTCTCTTTATTTCTTAATACTTTACGCTTACACGAGAGGGGTATGATTATGTGATGTGTAGGGTCTACTGTGTTGTGGATGGGGAGAGAGGGGTGGGGGGGGGGGGGCTTGACTAATTGTATGACGTCATACGGTGTTAAAGCTTAATCATGTTTAAAGACGGCCATTAACTAGGAAATTATTTATTAGATTGTGGGCAAGATATGCGTATCAACTTTGACTGTTTTTTTTTTTAATTTAATATTTGGAACATCCTAATTTGTTAACTTATTATTGTAGGTTTTTTTTATTAATATAGAATCTATATACAAATCGTATAGGCCCTAGCGTGTTTTATTTTTTTAACTGTGTTCACCGGGAAACAGTCAATGACCGTCCCATTTGACGTCACAGAATTACGGGTGAAAGTGAGGTCAAGTTTTGGCTTTTTTTTTATGTGCTACGTGCGTGAGGGTTGAGAAAATGTAACTTAGTAAACATCGGTGGGTGATACAACTTGGTGACGTCATTTATGGACAATTCTTTTTCCCCGCTGATAGGTACAAAGACTTTACTACATTTTTAAGTTTCTCACCACTTGTGTTTGAATGTAAACTTTGTAGCGCCGTGCAGTTTTGGTGTTATCACTGTAGCCTGGGCGGCAAAGCTGTTTTATCGTGAGCATTAATGACGCGAGCGCTTAGCCACGTGCCTTATTGATGAGCGGTTTTGTCGGGGATTTCAATGTCGGTTTTGTCGGGGATTTCAATGTCGGTTTTGTCGGGGATTTCAATGTCCGTTTTGTCGGGGATATCAAATGTCGGTTTTGTCGGGGATTTCAATGTCGGTTTTGTCGGGGATTTCGATGTCGGTTTTGTCGGGGATTTCAATGTCGGTTTTGTGGGGGATTTCAATGTCCGTTTTGTCGGGGATATCAAATGTCGGTTTTGTCGGGGATTTCGATGTCGGTTTTGTCGGGGATTTCGATGTCCGTTTTGTGGGGGATATCAATGTCGGTTTTGTCGGGGATTTCAATGTCCGTTTTGTGGGGGATTTCAATGTCCGTTTTGTCGGGGATTTCAATGTCGGTTTTGTCGGGGATTTCAATGTCCGTTTTGTGGGGGATTTCAATGTCCGTTTTGTGGGGTGATTTCAATGTCGGGAGTTTTGTCACATGGCATATGGACCGTAGCATTTTGTGGTGGGATATTTTTAAGGGAGCCTTATATCACAAGGCCATTTATTTTTAACGGGATCGATTTTTCAGGACCTTTGCCTTTAATATTGCCCTGTCGGGGTATTTTTTTATGTATGAGGATAATTTTAGCAAGCAATTTTTGTACTTACCTACATTTTTATTTTGCTTTACATATGTGTTTTTATTTGCTAGTTATATTTTATTTATTGTTATGGTAATGAAGTATGTTTTATATTCCAGACAGAGTATGCACTTCTAAAGCAGAGCAGAAACCATATGTAGAACTATATAAATTATAATAAAGAATAAAGTTCTTTGGTGTACTCCTATATATAAATTGTTCATCATTATTTTTTTTTAACTACAAGCATATTCATTGAGATTAAAATTAAAATAAATGAGGCCCAGCAAGGGACAGTATTTGAGCCAGCAGTGAAGAAAAAATTATTTCTTTTCAAAATGACAAATGTTCTTTAGAAATGCAAAATATCTTGGTATAAATCAGAAACATTATCATAAACAAAATTAAACTAAATCTTGATTTAAAAGTAGTGTGGTTATGACTATACCCAGCTGTCTTCAATTTCCATAGAATATCAGGTACTCATTACAGCTGGGTGGACTCGGGGATGTCCTATCAATCAGGGATCCGAACTTGAGGCTTAAGGTTAACATTTGGGCGTTCTATCATCTGACCATGTCATCCCTTCATTTAATTACAATCACTGAATCAGACTAAGGGTCTTATACAAACTTAAATGATTTGCCATCAATGTAACATCAACATATTTATTTTCACTTTTGGAACAATGAAAATGATAATCATTTACATAATTACAATGTGAGTTGTATCAATTCTTCAGCTCAATGAAAAGAAAACCATACCTTTATGATAATTGTTTAGTTAGTATTAATAGACACACTTTTAGAACTTCATTCAAGCAAGCTCAGTGCTTGATATTTTTAATAAATAGATAGAACTCACAATCAGATTGTGCTAAAAGTTTGGTTTTTTAAAAGGGGGGTACCTTCTTCAACCATATATTTCTGGAAAACAGATTGAGTCACAACCAGTATTTTGGTTATTTCTTTTGTTGTATAGAGTTATCTAAAGTTAAGCAAATTTTGGAACTTAAATGTTCAGTAGTTTAAATTTGCCATAATTTTGTATCTCACATAAACCAGACTTCGGTTTTGTAGAATCGCATGATTTATCAGCTTTGCATCATGATATACACAAATCTTTCATGCTATGATCAATATTTTGATATTATTCATTGACACACCCATAGTTACTCATTCTGAGTTATTTTGAGCTTAATATTTCTAATAGTTAAAATTTAAACTGAGGTTGTATGAAAGCACTGCGTGTTCAAAAATAGGGGGGTACCATGTTTAACTTTAGTTGTTCAAAAATTCTACCCATAAATATCTAATTTTTTGGTTTATTATGCTTCCATATATGATGAAAAAAGATACTGGAAAGTTTAAACAAATTCTACCATGTAGTTTACAGGCTATGATCATTTTAGTGCACACTAAAAAAATCTTTATCACAGAAATTTAAAAAATCCTATGTTAAAAAATGCACCTTTTTTAATAGGAAAAAAAATCATAACTTTTTAACCATTAGAGCTACATCAAAAAGGAAAACTGTTCTGTGATTCTAATTTTTTGCTCCTTTTACCTGCAGTCATTGTTTTGCAATCAAACCATTTTTGAAATTATATCCTAGTACCTACCTCTAAGACTCAGATCTAGATCTAGATCCAGATCTAGATCTAGATCTTGTTGGTCATCTGTGTGTGTTACTAGACACTAGAATACTAGATAGATGAGTCTAGATTTAGATCTAGATCTATGTCTAGATTAGATTTCTAGATCTAGATTAGATTCTATCTGGAGTATCTAGATCTATACTAGATTTAGAGATCTAGATCTAAGTCTAGATCTAGAATACTAGATTCTAGGGTAATCTATCGTTTTGGGTACGTAAAATCGCCCGCGGCTATTTATGTACGAAAACGTTACCTCATTGTCAAGGCTTTAATAGAAGTATATTGTCATACTTGTGTGTCAAATATTATAGATAAATGAATAATAAACCTAAATCAATGGCTAAATATATCGATACAGGCCAGAAATTAACTTTAAACAGCAGTGTCTGAGAGCAAGATTTGCTATATAAACAGCAGCCATTTGTAAAATAGAGTGGCTTCCCCCTGAATCTGGCGCTAAAAGCTTATAAAAATAAAACTTAGACAAGATGGCTGCTATATTAAATGAGCATGGTTGCATCTGTTGGAAACATCGCTAGTCTTCATTTATTACGGAAAAGTTTTAATTCAATTGTTTAAAAACAGGTACATAAATGAATCAAGGAAACATTTTTGAATTTTTTAAAACATAAATCTTCCTCAAAATGTGAAATAATTATTAAAATTTAAGGAGTCACCTGTTTTTCACATTACAAATCGCGGGCGATTTTACGTACCCAAAACGATAGATTACCATCTAGATATATCTAGATTTAGATCTAGATCTAGATTTCTAGTATCGAGTTGACAAGAATTCTAGACTCAAGCTACTAGTCTAAGCCTAAGCTAGGTCTAGATCTGTAGATCTAGATTTCAATCTGTTCTTAGTTTTTACTTGATCTCATCTAGATCTAGATTTAGATCTAGATATCTAGACTCTTAGATCTAGATCTAGATCTAAACTAGATTTATAATCTAAATCTTGGTAATCAAAATCTTACTAGAAATCTAGATCTACTAGATTCTAGACTAGTAGATAGATCTAGATCTAGAGATCCTAGATCTAGGCTAGACTACTCTAGACTCCTAGCCTAGAGTAATGATGTTATGTCTCTCTATGATTTCTAGTTTAAAGTTTAAACAAAACTTCTTTTAAAACTAGATCTAGATCTAGATCTAATCAACACTTGAGTCTAGGTTTAAAATCTAGAGACAACTAATGTAATGTAATAAACTGTATAGATCTAGACTAGTTTTAGAATAGATCTAGACTAGATTTAGCTAGACTAGATTTATATCTAGATCTAGATCTAATCATATTGCTCTCTAACTAGGCCTACTAGAATAAAGAATTTCGTTTTGAATGACTAAACTTAAAAACTTGAAACAATGTAACAAATCTAATTTTAATCTAGATTAATCGAGATCAGCATTCTATAAGAGAGTGCTTATTTGTAGTTTTACTTGTTTTGACTTCGATGCGGATTTGAACTCGAGACTTTTCGGTCAGCAGCCATTGATATATAATAGAATAACTACTTGTATAAGTAAAGGCTAAAGGGTGTTATATTTCTTATCACAATCTTAAGTTAATTATATGTCTTTATTTACTTAAGATACTTTTAAAGGGTTTAAAGGGTTCCTTAATTGTATGCTTTCAGGTGTTGAAGTTTTGTCGGCTGCTGTGTGTTCATATGCCATTCCTTCCTAGCAAGAAAAGAGGTTGTAATTAAGGACAACATTATAGTGATTGAGCTGTGTAAACATTGTAAGCCATTAATTCTTTGAATTATGATAAAAATGTTGATAAATGCTACATAATTCAATTTATTTTAATTTTTGGTGTTATATTTTAAATTTTAAACAAACGCAAGTATATAGCTTATTTGTTAACATAAATTTTATAACAAAATTAGCAACTCTTGTGATTTTCTTTTATCACCACAATCTTATTAATAATAATGTAAAATGTTTATTGTATTATCATTATGTAATATATATGTATTATAAAAAATATTATGTTAAACTTTTGTGTATTTTTCAGAGTATGATTACAAGGTTTCATAGCTTTCAGTTTGATCTAACATTTATCTGAGAACAGAAAGGTGTGTGTATTCAAGGTTCAAGCTAAATCATTTAAGAGTCTTCACATTGTAAGTATTGAAACTTACATTTTTTATTAGTTTTCTATTCCTATAGTCTAACTTTTTTTTCTGGAATTAGTACAACTCTTAAGATGTTTATATAATTTTTAAGATTATTGCTGGTATATAATGTTACTTATTTTATACTACAGCAGCATTGGCCATGGACAATTCCTACACAAAGGCAAATAGAGCACAGGAGTCATCAAGTTCAGGTAAGAAAAATGTTGATTGAAATTCACTTTAAAATGGTCAGATAATTTATTTTACAATTCTGAAATCATCTATGTTTTTGCTTATCAAGCTGTATAGTTAAAACATTTGTCTACTGTTAAAATAAATGTAATAATATTAATCATAGCTTTATTTAAAAACATTAACAGTAGGTACAGAGGACTTTTTTAACATAGGACGTTAAAAAAAATAACAACATATTAACTAATTACCAATGGGTTCTTACTTATTAAAGACATTAAAACATGTGTTACTGCAGACAGACATTTAATGTCTACATTATTTCAGTTGTGGCAAGCTGTGAAATTCAGAATAAGCATTTAAAAACTGACAAATCAGGTGTATTCCATCCAGGTAAGATATGCTAAGGCAAAAGGGAATTATAATGTAAACAATTTAATATAAGTGCTAGTTTAACATCTAGATAGCTTTAATAAAGTTTATTCCCATGATAGTTATATTAGCATTAAATCAAACATTTCATTTGCTAGAGAAATAATTTGTTGTTTGTTCCTGTAGGAAATCATGAAGCTGAGATGTGCTATGGAGGAGAAGCTGATCTACACAAACATGTTACTGGCTGTGAGAAGAATCCAGGTCACAAAGATTTTATACCTCTTAAAGATTTCAACGCAAGTTGTCTCCCCTCACGTTACCATGACGACGAGCTCATGTCTGAGACAATCAAAACATTGGCAGCCCTAACTGTCCAGGTAAAGACTAAATTCACCAGTCTAGAGAGACCAGAGTTTTACCCAGACACTCAAGTTCCATATCCATGTTATAATGACAGAGGACGTCACGTGATGAGGTTAGGGACGGGGAGGGTGGAGAGTGTGTACAAGTACACAGAGATTGACAAAACTTGTCATTGTGCCAAGTGTCGAGTCTCTGCCACACCCAGCAAATTGTGGGGGGTGGTTCGTGTGTTGACAGCCAGACACGTGGTGTTTGATGACAGTGAGGCGAGACAGACCAGTTGTGTTTTAGGTTTTGATGACAATAAAAGTCCAGTGGTCAGTCTTGATGGCTGGGAGGTGGACATGGGTGGGGCAGACATTGAGAGAGACTGGTGTAGGTTGATTTATGTGACATGTGACTTAGAGTTGCTTGATGAACTGGACAAGATGTGGCATCGCTTTAATGATCTATGTAGGGAAGTAAGGGGCGAATACGGTACATTTTATGTTGTGGACAAGTTGACCGTTATAGTGTCACATCCTCATGGCTGTCCTAAACAGGTCTCTGTAGGACAATGGACACACAGACATGAGAGGGATGACTGGACCAGGTACTGGTACACAACATGTACATGTCCTGGCTCCAGTGGAGCGCCTGTCTACAGGCTGGGATATGGCGGGTGGTGGTCGTATTACCATCCCCACAGTGGATCAAACTCTGAAGGAAATTATAGTGCGGAGTATTTGTTCTGATGTTACTGTTAGTTCTCTCCCCTTGTCTACACAATGTAAACAAACAAAATGGCGGAACCTTTCCCGTCTGTAAATTGTTTGTGTTAAGACCTGCATGTCTTGTAAACATTTTATTACATTTAAATGCTTAAAACAAATGTGTTAATTGATGTAAACCGTTTAATCGTATTTGTTTGCATGTACATTGATGGGTTGTAGAGTTTTTTTGTTTCAAATTTTGTAAATATTTTTCTTATAACTTTTGTCGGCAAATTGTTGTCCTATACCTATGCTGGGCTATACCTACCAAATGGCATAGTTATACTGGTTACATTTGTTTACAAAATTTTTACACTAAACGACATTAAATGGTAAAAGAAAATATTTTTCTACTGTTGTTATTTTAATCTTTTTGTCTGTTGATGTTTAAGTTGTTAAACAGCGCATGTTGTGGTGTCGATGTTCGCGCCAGATTGTCATGGGTTGTAAGTTAAAACTTTACAACAAAGTCCGTTTGTCTATGTCTAATACACAGGTAAGACTAATATAAATCAGATGATTAGAAAAAAATGTGGAATTCTAATCATTTAAAAATTATTTGACACATCACGTACTATATTTATATACTTCGCCGCGGCTAGACCTGCCCCAATAGAAATTTAAAGTGAAATGGTAGTTTGATGCTGTCATTGACTGACATTTGTGTAAACATTGTTGTCATTATAATTGTCTAGAAATCCTTTAACAATCATTGACTGTGATATTATAAAACAACGGCAATGATAGAACAACTAGTGTGACTTTAAAACATTGAATCAAAGTTTTTTCAATTACAACGCCTGCTTCCACCCCTTACCATGTTTAAACTGTAAAGCAACTGGAGAAATGGGACGACATGGTCGAGTAAAAGAGCAGACGCACTTTGTCCTCAAGGACACGAGTTTGATTCCCATGTTCGATTATCTTTCTTAATGCACAAATATGTGTAACTGAACATGTTTGGAGAAACATAATTCGGCTCGGTTTTCCGTGTGGGCTAAATGACGAAATAAGTCATGGGTATAACACCAACACATGAACTCTACTTTCTCTGCCGAATTGACCGTATGATATGCAAGTTAGCTTTACTTGAAAGTGGCTTCTCAATTTAAATATAATATGTAACTCAATGTTATACACAACTGTTACACCATTTTTACTTAGGTCCGAAAATCGATAAACTTTTATTTATAGCATGAAGATGAATTAGGGACAATATCGGTTTCGTGAGTTTACTCACTGTTATAGAAAGTTATTAAAACGATAAACAAATGTATGAAATAAATATTCTTGGACAAAGCTAAGCTATAAATAATGCGATCTCTAAATTGGAATAACTACTTTGTGGTCAAAGGGAAGTAACCATGAAATAAAGATTTAATGACAAGTATTTACACAGTTGTTTCCCTGGTTTATTAAATTTAGTTATGTTTACATTTTTGTTTAGCACAATAACAATCTCTCACCCAACAAACAGCTTGCAAAATACAAGTTTAAATTTTTTGAAATATAGTCCGCATTCTAGGATAAGCTTAAGTTAATTTTTTGCATCAAAATCGGTTGGTTGCCGTCTTTTCTTTAAAATCACTTTCCTATGTTTTAGCGTACATCAGTTCCTGAAATGTAAGCAGTTCCTTTGTTGTTAGGAGAAAAAAAAGTTTATAAAGAGAGCGAATTATATTGACACCAAGATACGTACAACACACTATTACCGTCACAGAGTATACTGTACATCAGTGGCGGAACTAGAAAAAATGGGCCACCCCGCAAAAATATTTTTTGGGCCCCCATCTATGTAAATGTATATATATATATATATATATATATATATATATATATATATATATATATATATATATATATATATATATATATATATATATATATATATATATATATATATATATATATGTATATATATATTTATATATATATGTATATATATATATATATATATATATGTATATATATATATATATATATATATATATATATATATATATATATATATATATATATATATATATATATATATATAAACATACAAACACAACACGAACATAGGATACTCATTTCTGGCCTGATCGGGTTTTGAAAAAAATATTCAATTAAATCTAATCACAACATGTCATGTGTATGAGCGCATTGGTCTTTTGAAAATCTTTGTTTTCATTTATGTTTGTCGTAAGACATCTAATCATTAAGTCGGACAAAAGTATATAAATCATGAAGCTTTGTATAAGTAATGGTGTCTCGTGTTATGTTTATAGTTATAATTTTTCGTATTTATTTTATTCTTTTTAACTACAATTCATTTTTATACTACAACATTCTTTCGTACTTGTTTTTACAAAAATAATAATTAAGATAAGTAATTGCTGTTTAATTAGATTATTTCAAATCTATTAAAAGGAGCTTATGAGAACCCCTATTTGACTATTTGAAAAAGGGAAATAATTTATGGAAGTGATTTGAACGTTTGCCTATCTTTCACACTACAGCTCATGAGTATATTTTTTTTTTATGCAACAGCATGTCTTAGCTACTTTATAACATCTCTACAGTATTCGATCTGTTATCTGTTTGCTATTTTACAAAACCACTATCAAGGTGCCAATGACGAAACTAATACATATATATATATATATATATATATATATATATATATATATATATATATATATATATATCAGCAAAGTGAATGGTTCAAGGTAAAAACAGGAGTCAGACAGGGCTGTGTCATCTCACCTGTCATCTTTTTGGTGGTTATAGACTGGATTATGAGAAGAGCCACTGAGGATAAGCCTAGAGGAATAGTTTGGGAACTTACCAACCACCTAGAGGACTGTGACTTTGCTGAGGACTTGGCTTTACTTTCACATGCCCAAAAAGACATCCAAGCAAAAACCACAAGAATAGAGCTAATTGCCAAAAGCGTTGGGCTAAAGATAAACTCCGGAAAAACCAAGTGCTCTCAAGACCTTTGCGAATGGAGCAGAGCTAGAAGAGGTCGAAGACTTTAAGTACCTCGGCAGCTATATATCAGCAAATGGTAGCATGGAGAAAGAAATTGCCACCAGAATAGCAATGGCAGCACAAGCTTTCAACATACTCGCTAAGATATGGAAATCATCCTCACTGCAGCAGAGAACTAAAATAAGGATCTATAAGTCTAATGTACGTTCTGTGCTCCTCTATGCTGCAGAGTCATGGAAACTAAACAAGAAAGGAGAGAGCCGACTCAGAGGCTTTGAAAGAAGATCCCTCCAACGCATCCTCAGGATAAAGTGGGACGACAAAGTCCCGAACAAAGAAATATGGCAAAGCACAGGTTTAAACGACATTGTCTCAGAGGTTCGAACGAGGAGATGGAGATGGCTGGGCCATGTCCTAGGTATGAGCAAAAAAAGACTCCCCAACATGGCGCTGAAGTGGAACCCACCCGGAAAGAGAAGTAGAGGAAGACCACTGGGAACATGGAGGAGGGAGATAGAAGAAGTACAGGCTACTGGCAAAACCTGGTATGAATTAAAGTGGCACGCCAAGAACAGGGTGGTATGGCGGAGATTTGTTGATGCCCTATACTCCACAGGGAGTGATGAGGATTAAGTAAGTAAGTAATATATATATATGTATATGTATATGTATATGTATATGTATATATATATATATATATATATATATATATATATATATATATATATATATATATATATATATATATATATATATATATATATACATATACATATATAACGCGCTATCATTCGTGTTTTCTAGAACAGTTGTTATTAAACGTTAACAATGTCGATACTTTATTTCTTGGATATTAGTTGTTGGAGCGCTAGTTTGTCAACACTACCACCGATACGAGCCAGCTTAGTTGTTGAGGCGCTATCTATTCGCTTCTTGTAAGGCTAAGAGCGGGAGGGGAAGTCTGAGAAAGGAACTTAAAAGGGACAACAAAGCACCGATGTGCTTTCATCCGTCAGTACCAAATTTGGGATGGTCTCAAAAAGTAGTCATAATATCTAGCGGTCTCTCGCGCAATTGATTTTTTTTCAAAAGAATTTTGTCGACAACAGCGTGTGTTTGGTTGTAGGAAAAAGAATATACAAGAGCGTGGGATGGTGTCTATAGAATAAAGATACTCCAACCGCAGCTACAGTATTCTTTTTTTTCAAAACAACCATCAATTCAAAAATGCAAGAAAATTAACTTTAACTATAAAAAAATGATTAAGGGCGGCTGTGGGCCCCCTAAACAGCGTGGGCCCCCCGCATTGCGGGGTCTGGCGGCACTGTAGTTCCGCCCCTGCTGTACATGGAACAGATGATGTAGAGTTCTTCAACAGCGACAGACAGTTGTAGATTTGTTTTATTGAACGTTTACGGCACAGCTGTGAAATATTGAAACGTTCTTGATGAAACAGTTTTTTGAGTATCAAAATGTGCCTGTCTAACTCAGATACAAGTGTGTGACCAGCAGTAGATTGGGCCATCCTTGTGTCACCAGCAGTAGATTAGGCCATCCTTGCGGTGTGTCACCAGCAGTAGATTGGGCCATCCTTGTGGTGTGTCACCAGCAGTAGATTCGGCCATCCTTGTGGTGAATCATATATGTGTAAAATTTCGTTTGCCAAAATAAAACGGTACTTACATTATCGTTATTTTAGAAATCTTAAATTGTTTAAATTACCCCATTCGATTATTTTAAAATTAAAATTTATTCAAGTATAAGATCTTAACCGGTAATATGAAATGTCTACATAAATGAAAATTTAGTTAAGATAATATAGTATTACCGAGGAAATAATGTAAAGTACCACTTAAATGTATAAGAAATCGATCAAAATTCATATGCCTGGAAGAAACTCTGAAAAAAGGATATGATTAAATCAACGTTTAAACAATACACCTATGTATCAAAACTTTGAGTGTTTTAAAGAAATCGATACCCGAATATTCAAGAATTATACATGATATAGGATTACCAAGAAAACAATGTAAAGTACCACTTAAATGTATAAGAAATCGATCAAAATTCATATGCCTGGAAGAAACTCTGAAAAAGGGGTAAGATTAATCAACGTTTAAACAATAAACATTAGTATCAAAACTTTGAGTGTTTTAAAGAAATCGATACCCGAATATTCAAGAAGTATACATATAATCACCGCAGCTAAAAAAATTAAAGTTAATTTTGACATTCTACAACTTTAAATGATTTCAGCCACTGTTCTTAGTTTTTTTGATTGGTCAGTCGTGTGGCCTTTTCTATGACATGATTAGTTGTAAACTGTCATCTGAAAGGTTATACTTGTTTACTTA